AAAAAAAAAAAAAAAAAAAAAAAAAAAGTAAGAGAGAGGTACACTATTTGGTGGCAGTGCTTTCCTCTTCTTAGTTCTAAAGATTGACAATGAGAAGCATGGTGAAGGTTAGAAGCCCAGAGCCTGGAGCCAGAACAACCTGATTTCAAATGTTGATTCTGTAATCCATTAGCTGGCTTTCCTAGGATATTTATGTAACCTTTCTCACAAGGTTGTTATAAGATTTCTTAAGATAATCCAAGTAAAATATTAATAGGGTTCCTGGTACATGGTAAACTCTCAATAAGAGTAGCCATGGTTTTCTGTTTCTATTATTGTTAAATTGGAAAGGGTAGCATTACCATTGATCAGATGTATGAAGTTGCCTAAAGACACGTGGCTGATCTAGATGCATCATATTATAGCAGGTGCCATGAACAGCTGATCTGATAATAAGAACTAGATACCAGAGCCTTACTGAGAATAAGGCTAATACCATAGAAATAGAACTAAGAGGCTGAAAGAGAGACTGAAATGATGGCATGATTCATTTCAACCATGATAGAGACTGATTCCCTTTCTTACATGAGCAAATACATTTTTTTCTTTTTTTATTTTTTATTTTTTTCTTCGATATTTTCAGCTGAATGCAAATACATTTTTATTCCTCACCCCCCTTTTGCCTAAGCCACTCTGAGCTAGGTTTCTGCCACTTGATTAAAACGAATGGTTTGTTATCCCTTAGGAAGGGAATCAGAGATCGCTTGGAGTCAGCAGAGGTTAATTTAATAAAAATCGCTCAAGCCAGGCGCAGTGGCTAACACCTGTAATCCTAGCACTTTGGGAGGCCGAGGCGGGCAGATCACGAGGTCAGGAGTTTGAGACCATCCTGGCCAATATAGTGAAACTACATCTCTACTAAAAATACAAAAATTAAGCAGGCGTGGTGGTGCGTGCCTGTAATGCCAGCTACTCAGGAGGCTGAGGTAGGAGAATCTCTTGAACCGGGGAGGCAGAGGTTTCAGTGAGCCAAGATCATGCCATTGCACTCCAGCCTGGACGACAGAGAGAGACTCTGTCTCAAAATAAATAAATAAATAAAAATAATGGTCATGCCAGACTTTTCTCATTCTTTTACTGACAGTCAACTAGATCAGTAGATCAAAGGAATACTGTAGTCCAGTGTATCTAGACCAAGAGGTGTTGCCAGTCTCTTGTGACATGCTTACACATGGAATAAGAGGCAGTGATGGAGGCTGGCATAGAGAGCAGTGATAGGACATGAATAAGGACTACAAACCGATAAAACCACTAACTGCAAAGAGTGTTGATCAGTGTCCACCTTTGGGCTCTGTTTTGTTTTATTAAAGATATCCATTAATTTGTGCTTTCCATCTCAAAAACCTTCTGGGTCTAAACCTCCACCATCTTTTTCCTGGACTGGTACAACAGCTTCCTGACTGGATACACAGCATCAGAGCGGAGCGGTCTTTCAAAAACATAAAATTGGGCTGGGCTTGGTAGACCACATCTGTAATCCCAGCAATTTGGAAGGCCGAGGCAGACGAATCACCTGAGGTCAGGAGTTTTGAGACCAGCCTAGTCAACATGACAGAACCCCATTTCTACTAAAAATAAAAATAAAATAGCCAGGCATGTTGGTGCACGACTGTAGTCCCAGTTTGGGAGGCTGAGGCAGGAGAATCGCTTGAGCCTGGGAGGCGGAAGTTGCAGTGAGCTGAGGCTCCATCTCAAAAGAAAAAAGAAAAATAGAAACATATGAAGAGTTCATAGCCAAATCACAAAAAACATTCTAATATTTCAGAAACTACTGTGAAACAAAATAGAGCCACAGAGCCAAGAAAGGAAGGAATTTTCCAAGTCACTGTGCTTACAGAAAAGGACTTCTCTGGGTTGAGAAATAAATGATTAGAAAGGAAGTGGAAAGAGAGCAACGGACATCCCCTCACCCTATACACATACAAACATACACATTCTGTCTCTCTTTTCTGGAGGAAAAAATCCCTTTTATAAATACATGAAAAGGAATGTAACCCACCAGACAGGTGGTATGTGCCTTAACCCAAATCACATAGCAGCTATTTGCCCTTAGCCATATTTCCCCAGCTCTATTTGGAAGGAGACAACACAGTATTTTTTGGTTTGTTTATTTGTTTGTTGTTTTTTTGTTTTTGAGACAGAATCTTGCTCTGTCGCCCAGACTGGAGTGTGGTGGCACGATCTCGGCTCATTGCAACCTTTGCCTCCCAGGTTCAAGCAATTCTCCTGCCTCAGCCTCCTGAGTAGCTGGGACTACAGGTGCGCACCACCACGCCTGGCTAACTTTTGTATTTTTAGTAGAGATGGGGTTTCACCATGTTGGCCAGGCTGGTCTTGAACTCCTGACCTCATGATCCGCCTGCCTCAGCCTCCCGAAGTGGCTGATATTATAGGTGTGAGCCACCAAGCCTGGCCCTACACAGTATTTTATTTAAAAGCAGTTATTTGTATAGATGAGTGGGCCTGCCCAGGCTCTGTCCTCACAAGTTTGGATCCATAGATTTAAAGTTCTTAAGCTTTCCAGAATTAGGGAATTAAGAAAATAATAACAATAATTAGAATTATAAAATCCACTGGGCACAGTGGCTCATGCCTGTAACCCCAGCACATTGGCAGGCTGAGGTGGGAGGATCACTGGCATCCAGGAGTTCATGAGCAGCCTGGGCAACATAGCAAGACCCTGTCTCTACAAAAAGTAAAAAAAATAGCCAGGTGTGGTGGCATATGCCTGTAGTCCCAGCTACTCAGAAGGCTGAGGCAGGAGGATTGCTTGAAGCTGGGTGGTTGATTTCACCACTGCACTTAGCCTGGGCAGCAGAGCAACGAGACCCTGTCTCTAAATAAACAAACAAATAAATAAATTCTTAAGCCTGTCAATAAACAAGCAATCAGCTTTGGACAGTCAAGCTCTACAAATGCCATTTTGCTTCTGTTATAGCACATGAAAACACACTCCCTACTTCATTAGTTAAATAAAAAGCCATTTATTTGATCTAGGGCAGAATCAGCCAAGTCACTGTTTACCACAGTAATCTGCTGATCCAAGAGGGATGTAAGCCAATGGCCAGCAACTCCTGTTCCCTGGCAGAAATTCAGCTGAAGCTCTATTGCTGGGCAAGAGTGGGTGCTGCCCAGGTCCCAGTTTATGTCCTCTCTCCTCTCATTTAAAAACAAACTCTATAGGTGCTGACTCTGTTTGAGAGAGGCAAGTGAAAGCCAATAAACAGTCCTTGTTACAGTATCTGGTAGTTTCTACTTTCAGCTTTTGACTTGGAGTCAATTATTGAGGGTAGTGCCTTGCTGCACCCTTATTTAGGATACCATCACAAAGGTATGTGGTGTGGTTTGTAAATCATAATAGGGCTGACTTTACTTTTTCATGTTTATAATTTTTTAAATTGTGTTTTATTTCAGATACAGCCCAATTTCTTCCAAGTCATCACTCTTTCCCAACTAGCACAGCTTTGATTCACTGGGTTTTGTGTGTCATCTTTTTTTTTTAATTAATGCATAATAGATGTACATAGTTTCAGGGTACATGTGATAATTTAATATATTTATAAAGATCAAATCCGTGTACCTGGGATAGCTATCGCTTTAAATATTTGTCTTTTCTTTATGCTAGAACCATTCAAATTATTCTCTTCTAGCTATTTTGAAATATACAATAGATTATTATAAACTACAGTCACCCTATAATCATCAGCACTTTTATTGAGCATCTATCATGTCAGGCACTGGCCTTTATGCTCATTCTTAAGTCTGACAAAATCCTGGAGGATGAAACAGACACTCTTATCTCCAGTCTACACATAAAACTGGGCCTTGAAGAGGTTAAACTATGCTTCCTGGATCACACAGCTAGCTGTCTGGACGCACAGCAGGTACTCCTCCACCAGCTGCCTCCCTTCAAAAAACCAAAGAAAGTGCTCTGAAACCATGCTTGCTGCCTGAGTGCGGGCCTGCAGGCACTTCTTACAGCAGGAATTCGTGTCAAATCTCAAACTGCGCACAAGGCTTTGTGTGAACCCTTCTACAGGCAGTGGACACAGATCTTTAAGGGGTTAGGGATCCCTAGCAGTTTAAGAACCAGTGCCTTTACAGAAACAGGAAAAAAAAAAAAAAAAAAAAAAAAGAACCAGTGCCTTGGCAGGCTGTCTGCTTCCCCACTCCCCGCTGTAAGTTTCCGGCGTTCAGGAGCCCGCTGTTCTGACTTCTAGTCCCAGCTTTGGCACCACTTTTCTAAGGGCCCTTAGCCAAGTCACCTCACCTATGGATCACGGATTTCTGTTCTCTTTTTTCCCGGCCTTGACTGTCTATTCATAGTTATATTTTTCTTGGCAAAGATTCTTTACCATTGTTTGTATTTTTCCATTGTTATAATGTATGGATGCTTACTAAAAGCTGTCTCAAATCCTACATGGAAGAAGGCAGAAACAGGAATAGAGAATAATAATTTTTTTCCAAGCCAGCTTAACTCCCGGCATCAGTTTCCCACCTGTAAAACGACTAGGTCAGGCCACATGGATCAGGTAGCTTACATTCCCATAAGGCTCAAGACACAAAGCTAGCTACCAAGCAAGTTGGGACCCGAGAGGTGGCCGCATCCTGCCTTTCGCTGCTCCACCTACCTTTTCTGATCCTCCCAGCAGCTGTTTTCTGCACCCCTCCCGGGCCCCATCCTGCCTGACCAGGCCCCAATCGCCAGGCGGACTCACCCGCGTGCGCAAGGTGCCTGCGGGCGCTCAAGCACCGAGCCGGTAGCCACGCTCCCCGCACCCGCGCCGCTCGCAGCGGCTGTGCCCACCGGGGGCACGGGCGGGCACGGCTGTGCCCACGCTGCTGTTTGCGTGCGTGCGTGCGCCGCGAAGGGGTGGCTGGTCTCCAGCCTTTGTTAATTGTCTCTGGAGCCAGGTTGTTTTCTGTTCGCCGCTCCCGGAGTCAGCCCCGGCCCGCTTGGAACCTTGCCCTCGCTGGCAGCCAACCCGAAGCATTGCGGGCGGGGTTTAGCGAAATGCTGGGCCTCGATTTAATTCTGAGTGTTGGCTGCCGAGCAGCCCTTGGTTTTTGTTCCAGCTCTGCTGGGAGCCCTGCGCAACCTTAGCCAAATCGGCCAGTCTCTTCCATGACTTAACGGCGTTGGTCCATTCTTTCACTCCACTGGGAGCAAGACACTCTTCTGGGCACTGAGAACTCAACAGTTAACACAATAGACAAGGTCCTGGCCTTCTTGAGCTCCTGTCCTAGACATTAAATCCACCAGTAAAAGTGATAATTGCTATGAAATGCATGGAAAGTTTCCTATCAGGGCAACCAAACCTTGTTTGTAGCTCCTGAAATGGACTAGATTAGCTTTTCTCATCTGCCAGTTCCTTTATTCTTATTTTCATTTTTAGGGCTTAATTTAGGGCTTATTATTACTACTGGTAGTAGCCCTATTGCTTACTAAGGGCCAGGCACTATGCTAAATGTTTTACTTGTACTGTCTCAATTATCTCATTCACAATTTCTCTAAGAAATAGCTATCATTATTATTATCCTCATGTTCAAGAGGGAGAAACTCAAGCTACAGAGGTGAAAATAACTTGTTTATGGTTACACAACTACTAAGTGACAGGGCCAGTATTCAAATTCAGACCATCTGAGCACTCAGGGTGCTTAACCAGCACTCTACACCCATAAAAACATGAAGACCAGAATAGTGTCTTCTCTTGAATGTGCCAGATGAGGACAACTGAAGGGGAGAGGAGTGGTTTCGTGTGCAGAAGAGAAAAGCAAGGGAATTTGAGGTCTTTTCAAAAAAGTTGTCCTAGCTGGATGTGGTGGCTCATGCCTGTAATCCCAGCACTTTGGGAGGCCAAGGCAGGTGGATCACGAGGTCAGGAGTTTGAGACCAGCCTGACCAACAAGGTGAAACCTTGTTTCTACTAAAAATACAAAAATTAGCTGGGCATGGTGGCAGGAGCCTATAATCCCAGCTACACAGGAGGCTGAGGCAGGAGGCTGAGGCAGGAGAATCGCTTGAACCTGGGAGGCAGAGGTTGCAGTGAGCTGAGATTGTCCACTGCACTCTAGCCTGGGCAACAGAGTGAGACTCTGTCCCAATAATAATAATAATAATATCAGTTGCCTAGAGAGAGTATCCTGTCACTAAAAGAAAGCATTCAAGCAGAGAAGCATATTAGAGATACTTCAAAGAAAAGTCAGGTCCAAGTTGAAAACTGATTGAGGTGATCTCTACGGTTCCCTTCAATTCTGATATTTTGTCTATTCTAACCTACTGATAAAGAAACTGAGTCCTGGCTGGGTGTGGTGGCTCACGCCCGTAATCCCAGCACTTTGAGAGACTAAGGTAGGTGGATCACCTGAAGTCAGGAGTTTGAGACCAGCCTGACCAACACGGTGAAACCCCATCTCTACTAAAAATACAAAATTAGTTGAGCCGAGCATGGTGGCGCATGTCTGTAATCCCAGCTACTTAGGAGGCTGAGGCAGGAGAATTGCTTGAACCCGAGAGGCAGAGGTTACAATGAGCTGAGATGGCACCATTGCATTCCAGCCTGGGCAACAAGAGCAAAATTCAGTCTCAATAAAAAGAAAGAAATTGAGGAAACTGAGTCCTAGGGTGGCGGAGTGGCTAAGTGGCCTGTCCAAAGTCAACTGGGAAGTGAAGCGCTGACCCCCAAAGCTGAGTCTGATCTAGATCAGACTTCCTGATTGTTTCCAGATGAGGGTCTTGTGAGTGCTCAACACCTCAGTTAATGCTCCTGTAAAGTGTGTATGTGCCTGTCCAGTTTTTCCTGAGTGTGTGAGATCATCTGCTTTATAATTTTACTTTACACTTTTTTTTTTCAGAAGCATGTGATGGAATATTTTGTGCTTCTGATGTGTGCCCATCTTCCTTGCTTGTGTTGAGTATTCTGTGGCTTTAGATGTAAGTGTTAACAGTTCCTGCAGTAATTGCTGTATTATAGGATACCAAGTATTTATTTGGCAATTTAAGGAGAACAAAATAAGCTGGATATTTTTCATTTGAAACTGATGTTTCCTCTAGTTATAGGCCTAGAAGCAAAGAGGAAAAAAAAAAAGAAAGAAACTGATGTTTCGGCCGGGCATGCTGGCTCTCGCCTGTAATCCCAGCATTTTGGGAGTCCGAGACAGGTGGATCATGAGGTCAAAAGATCGAGACCATCCTGGCCAACATGGTGAAACCCTGTCTCTACTGAAAATACAAAAATTAGCTGGGTGTGATGGCGCATGCCTGTAGTCCCAGTTACTCGGGAGGCTGAGGCAAGAGGATTGCTTGAACCCGGAAGGCAGAGGTTGCAGTGAGCCGAGATCACGCCACTGCACCTCAGCCTGGCGCCTGGCGACAGAACAAGACTGTCTCAAAAAAAAGAAAAGAAACTGATGTTTCCTTGATTCTGTTTTAGGAGTCAGTTTATTTTGAGTGAAATTTCTAATACATAGGCAATAATTCCACTATCTCTCATCCTAGTCACATGGATTTTGATAAGCAGCAATCTACTTGTTGACTTTAGAAGAGGCATTATTCTCTCAATCTCTAAAGAGCTATTTGCTTTTGACTGGAAACCTCTAACAAAGGAATCCATTTGATTTCTAGAACTTTTACAAAAAAATGGACATCACCTTGCCCCCAGTGACACTAACCCAAAGATAAAAGGGTTCCCTTTCACTTCTACCTTCAACAGAGTGATCCATTTTTAAATTTTATCTATTTCAAAAAGAAATTATATTTGCCAGTTCAGAATTAAAAAGTATACTGTCAGGGTTAGCTTATTGATCTTTGGATTCCTCTTATTGCCTGGCATAATGCCTTGTGCATAGTTAAGTGCTAAATAAGTGTTTGTTGAATGGGTGGAAGAGTGAATGTGAAAAAGTTGTAGGAGGCAAAGAAAGGTAGATTAGGGTGGGGCAGCAGACACTTGAGTCAAGAGACAACAGCTCCTTTCCCCAGTATTTCTTCTTTTGCCTGAGGTGTATGGGCCTTAAAGGGAGCACAGGCAGAACTCTCAGACCAGTTGCAAATTTAAGCATGACTGTATTAAGGGCTCTTTACTAAAATAAGCAGATTGGACTCTTTCAGGCTGCACATTACCTAAAGACTATGTGCTAGCCAGAGTCCTTGGTTGCACGCAACAAAAGCTGATTCTGGTCAACCAAAGCAGAAAAGGAATTTCTTGAAAGAGTATTGGGGAGCTGAAAGAATCAGTAGAAAGGATAGAGAACTGGGCTAGGAGTATAGACAGGCACCATGGGAAGCCAGGTGGCCATATCCACAGAGGATACCACACCAGAGGAAGGATGCTTCTGCTGGACACTGGCAATGCCACTGGCCCTGCCATTCAGGTTCTGGTCCTGGGTACTGGATACCATAGATGACCTACCTGCCATTGCTGTCACCAGATACCGAATGCCACCACCCCTGAAATTCACTAAAATGTACTGAATAAACTTTACACATTGCCTGCTGCTCTTCACTCTTTTTTCCAGAATTATAATCAGAGAAAACTGATATCAAGGCCTTTTGGCTTCCATGAATGAGATCCAGGGCGCTGCTTTACACAATATCCTGTTTCCCAAATGCATAATGGTAACATGGAGGTTGGGTAACCAGGAAAATGACAAATGTCCACACAGCAGTCATCTTCTAATAATTTGTAGGCCCCAGACTAAAAGAATTGAACAATATAATCTGTATGAAGTACTTAGTACAGCAACTGAGCTGAACTCTCAAAACCTGGAGACGTGGGTGTTATATTTGTTTCTCAGCCTTTTACAATTTTAGGTAATCAGATAATTTTTTTTTTTTTTTTTTTTTTGAGGTGGAGTTTCACTCTTGTTGTGCAGGCTGGAGTACAATGGTGCAATCTCGGCTCACCACAACCTCTGCCTCCTGAGTTCAAGCAATTCTCCTGCCTCAGCCTACCGAGTAGCTGGGGTTACAGGCATGCGCCACCATGCATGGCTAATTTTGTATTTTAAGTAGAGATGGAGTTTCACCGAGTTGGTCAGACTGGTCTCAAACTCTCGACCTCAGGTGATCTGCCCGCCTGGCTTCCCAAAGTGCTGGGATTACAAGTGTGAGCCACTGCACCTGGCCTCAGAGAACTTCTTTATATCACTAATACTTTCCTCCCATACCTTTTCTTTATCATTAGAATCACTTGCAGTTACAGAGGTAAGCAAAGGAAGGCTAAGAAGAAAGAGGTAAGTTTTGCCAAATGTGTACTTAGCACCACAATATGGGCAATGCTATGGGTCAAGTAAATCTATTTTTCTGATAAAATTTTTTCCCCCAAGTATGCCCTACCTATTTGCATTCTGATAAATTTTTTGAAAGTTGCCTACCTCTTTAAGAGTCTCAGTCTTGAGATCATGTCTAATTTTTTATTCTACTTTGTGAAATCTACCACTCTTTCCATAAAAATAATGAAAATAAGTGCTATTTATTGAGTGCCTAATACATGTCAGTAATGTTTCATAGATTATTTCTAATACTGACAATCATCCTATATGATAGATAGTATTTGCTTTTTACAGATTACAAAAAGATTACAGAAAGAGTAAGTAACCAGACGAGGGCGAGGTGGCTCATGCCTATAATCCTAACACTGGCCGAGGCAAGTGGATCACCTGAGGTCAGGAGCTCAAGACCAGCCTGACCAAAATGGAGGAACCCTCGCTTTACTAAAAATACAAAATCAGACAGGCATGATGGTGCATGCCTGTAATCCCAGCTACTTGGGAAGGCTGAGGCAGGAGAATTGCTTGAACCCGGGAGGCAGAGGTTGAGGTGAGCCAAGATTGCGCCATTGCACTCAGCTTGGGCAA